TAGTTAGAGAAAGAGAAAGAGACAAAGAAATAAGAGCTAAGAAGCTACTTATTTTTTTCAAGTGAACCTATCTTATACAACCAAGGCCCTTTTACAAAAATTGTAAATTAGGGAAATAGAACAATGTGTCCCAGAAATTATTGCATAGCTAAGGGTGATATAAATGACAAACATGTAATGCAGGAAAAAAAAAAAAAAAAAAAAAATCAGCAATAAACAAGAAATTGAAGGTCAATGTTTAGAGCTTCATAACCAGTGCTTGGTTGGTGAGGCTTGTCATAGCAACTTCACTAGAAAATTTTGAGTCTTGGTAAATGAAAAGCATTTCTTTTTTAACAAACTGAGGTCTTGAAGTTTTCTTTAGTCTGTTATGATTCTCTAGACTAAAATGAAAACTTTTACAAAAACTAGTTTTAAAATAAAAACACTTTAATGTAAAGTGATGAAGTTGGCTTAGCTAATTTTTTTTTTTTAACAAAAAGGGAAAGAGGAAGCACTATATTTCAGCACTGTTAAATTAACCAATCAAAACTTCCACTGAATGAGAAAGCCCAAAAGACACCACAAGGCTATCTTTCTCTGATAATATGCTAAGTGCAACCATCTTAAAATGCTTTATTACTGATTACTGCTTGGTTGTCACTTACTAAATGGTAATGACAGTATTAGCTGTTTCCTCATAAGGAAACATTTGGCATTTATTGATCGAGCAGTGATCAAGCTACTTTTAGTTGAAATTTATAAAAGCTTTCTAGTAAAACAATTTATCAAAAAAATAGGTTTCATTATTATCAGGGCGATATTAATGGGGGCTTCTCTCCTAACCTTTTCTTTGAAATAGAGTGGAACATCAACATCTTGATTATATCATTATTTTCTGAGTTACATGTGATATCCATTTTAGTTGTTGCTGCTGCTGTTAAAAGTCCTCAAAATGATGTGGTTTCTGTTATCTGGTACAGTTCTTTAATGCCAGTCCACACAGTTCAAAGAAATATGGTCATTGCTAAGACCTAGAGGATTTACTTGCTTGAAGCCATTTTTAACTATTGATCTGAGAAAGCAATTGTATACAGCTGACTGTTTAGATATTTCTGAAGGAATTTGGTAACATGCATGGCATCTATATGAATATCTTGATTTGACAAGGCTATTTAAGAGCAGTTTTGAGATTTTAGGTTAATGTTTTGATTTTGTTGACCAAAACTACCCCCAGTGGAGCCTATTCTTTTTTCAATTTCTTTATCTTCTATACTAAATTTTTTTATAACTGATCTACACACTGAAGTATTTGAAGTGCTTAGTATACAATAATTCCTCATCCTGAATTTTCATGATAGATTCAGGGTATGTACCATCACTGCTTTCATTTCAATTCCTGATCATAGTATCTGTTTTGGAAAGCTTTATCTTTAGTCCTATTTCTTGGAACACTTGGTACAGGATGTTGATTTTTTTTTTGTTCAAGATCCATCTTATCCAAAACATTAATTGGTTTATTATTTTTGCCAATTACAATGTGTTAATCTATCAAAATAGCTTTGGACAAAATTTAATGAATCAAACACGTTGTAAATTTATATAAAAGTTAATATCAATGCATTGTTTTGCTAAAAAATAGCAAAATTGCTTAATAAACACTTAAATATACATTTAAATGCAGTTCAATAGTATTTTTCATGTTAAATTGTGAAAGTTATTTATGAAAGTTGCACATCAAAGTAATTAACATATCTACATTGGTGCTAATGATTTTCAATAGTTGATGGTGATATTTTAATTATACTGGATGTTTCCTGCATCATATTACATTGATTATTCTCTATTAATGACTTCATTTGCTCATTATTGACTTCAACTACCAAAAGATGGAGCATAATTCTGGGAGAAATATCTTAACATAAAACTTTCAAAGAAATAACTGATGAAAATAGAGAATCCACATACAGTGTATTGCAAAAGTTTTCATTCTAAGCAAAAACACAACCTTTTACTTTATATCCAAGCACAAATTATTTACCAAAATTTTTTAAAATAGGAAATTGTGCTCTTTTAACTGGGTATTACTAAATATTGTTAAAAACTGTTTAACCTAAGAAAAATTGGTAAACTTATGTTACATAAATATTCATGCCACAAATAACAAGAGATCTAATTCTGACTCACAACATTGCCACAGATGGCTATCCATTGATGCGTGACTGGTTTGCGATAAAATTTAAAGTGTATTCTTCCTATAACTATAACCCGTCTAATGTTATGTAAATCATATAAACTTCAATAACTTAAAAAGTTCAGAACCAATATTTGTTAAATTTAAACGAGTCAATCTTCACCCTTGGTAAAATCTAACTAATTTTTAGCCACTTTTAATACATATATTCTGAGATATTTGGGATTTACAAAAACGAACGGCCTGAAGTTATTATGCAGATTAAACTAATATTAGTTTAAGGTCTCTGAAATTTAATAAAAACTATTTTTTTTCCATATGTTAAAACACGGGTAATGGAAATGATCTAACAAATGCTGAAAAACAGAAAATAACAGTTACTGAGTGAACAAATGTCACACATTGGTGATATGAAAGGAGCTTCAGAGATCATTGAATAATAAAGAGGATTGGCTGTTGAAAATATAAATAAGTTGAGAACTAGAAGCAAAGAAAAAGACTAAAAACTCAAGGAGAATATAAACTAAAGCATGTTATAGTGAAACAACCACTTTTAAGTAGTGCTCAGATCTTTGAACAGGCTGGAATTGAGTGGGTCAAGAAGAATGTGTAGAATACTTTGCAAATTGAGATCTGTCAAGAAATCTCATCGACAAACTCTTCTTAATAAAGCAATATTCTAAAGTGTTAAAAGTAAACCAAGAAATACATGAATATTGACTTTTCTAAAGTAATTTTCATGGATATATTCCAGGTGACATTCGATGAGCCAGAGGACAAATTTTATCTGATGCACCTGTGGTTAAAAGAAGGTAGCAGTGTGATGATATAGTTTGGAATTGCCAACCAAAGCATTATTGGACCATTCAAATTCAATGAAGGAGTTAAACTAAACAGTGATAACTATTGAAATTTCATTCTTTGAATGGTACAAGCCTCAGCCTCAGTGTTTCAAAGTGAAGTGTGTATTTATGCATGACAATACTTCTTTTCGTGTATCTAAGGTTACCCATGAATTTTGGGGGCATAAAAGGCTTACAGAAGAGAAAATAATGGAATGTCCACCATCAAATCCTGATCAAAAATTTATAATCAATTGTGAAGATGAAATTATATGAAGGTGGCAAACAATATGACAACAAAGCAAACCTATGGGAAACAATAAAAAAAGCTACCATGTCAGGAATTGAATCTGCTGAAGTAAAAAAAAAAATTAACAAAATAAATGGATAATAGATTACTGGCTATTATTGAGAATAAGGGTCACTATATTAAGATGTAAATGCTTTAAGACTTATATGTTTGTTACTTGTTCTATTATAGTTGTTGATCAATTATTGTTGATTTTATTATTTTATTGAAATAAGAATTACTTTCCTGGTTTTGTCTAACTTCGGATTTCAGTTTTTAATAAATCCAATAACTTTTGAAAAAAATGTTGAAACTACCTAAAAATTTAAGCTTTATTTTGACAAAATTCTTTCAAAGCAAATTCAATTTATTGAGGTTTACATAATTTGCAAACTAACTGAACTGTAGTGAACAATATTCTTCTGTCTACAATCCCACTGCTTGTCAGTGAAACAACACACGTGGCAGCCACGAAGTCCAAAGAATTATCAGAATACTCAAGAAGGAAAGCTATAGAGAAGCATAAAGTTAAAGAAAGCTAAATATAGGCAGTTCATTAAAGGTTTGAAATGGTATTGTGTCATCTATGGTCATCTTAGTGTTCATGGTAACACTACAAATCTCAGAAGAATAGGGCATCTCTCAAAGATGACAGGTCCAAACTGAAGAGCTTGTCTGTGTGCAAGAGAGACTATGGACAGTGTCAAATACATAAAAGTATCTAGAGGAAAACCTCTTCTAGTCTCCAAGAAACCTTAAGCTTGGGAAGAAGTTCACATTTCTGTAGGATAACAATATCAAGCACACTTCTCAAGCAGCTAAAAAAAGAAAAAAGTAAAAAAATAAATAAATTGAAACTTTTAGTTAGAGTAAAAATCTGAATCCCTCTTCAGAAATCTCAAAATTTCTGTCCACTGAAACAAAACCAACTCAGCTGGCTTATTTGCACATGAATTAACACAAAGAAAAAAAGAATAATAATAAAAAGATAAAGAAAAGGAAGATACAAGCAACACAATATGAGTGAGTTTATTTCTGAACTTGCAAACTATATTCAAAACCTCAAGAGTAGGACACACATAGGTACTTTGAAAACGATAAGAAAACAAAGAAATGTTCTTTCTAATTATGTATGATAAAAAAAAAAAAAAAAAAAACAACCACCAAACATGGAGCAAATAGACAATATTGGCTAATGCTGTAACTTGTTAGAATCTGTCAAGGTCAAAAGTAGTGCATCTTGTGTGCAACAAAGAATTTATATGTTTCCTTTGTCAATCACATTTGCGATAAAAGGTTGCAAAAGAAACAATAAATGTTTACATTGCACCAGTGGAGATGGTGGGAAAGGACTTAGATGACTAACCAAGAAGACTAGTAATATTGTCAACACTATCAAGGGAAAATCTAGAATAATAATCAACATGTGACCAAACTAGATTGGAAAGTCAACTCAATCTATGAAACTCTTCAAAGTTTGGTTTCTAGTTTGACAAATGACAATGATCAGCAACATCACGAGCCAAGTCTATTTTTATTATTGAAGATCTGCTCCTGTTGTAACTATTAGTTGATTCAATTTTTTTCCTTATACATTCATCTCTCACCTTCTTGTTACTAGAACTCCTGAAGGCAATACCAGTTATAAGGACAAGAAAGATGATAGATAGATTTTAAAATAATGATAAACACTTACAGTTGTGGCATAATCTTCCAACTGCAAAATGAAGTCACTGAGAGGCACTCCAGCTGTTTTCACATCTTGTGTTTGTTGTCCAGTCATCATCACTTGGGTCACAGGATTGTGAGGAAGGATGTTGCTTGTAGCCATTCCTTCTTCCATAACTGAAATGAAACAATAAACTTTAATTTCTTGGGTCAATCCTACATCCCAAAGAACATTTGTTATTAAAACTACCCAGTTTTTATCAGAATTTTTGCCAGAATGTGACAGTAACAAAATTAAATAAAATCTAAATACTAATTTCTCCAGTCTTTTCTTTGACTGGGGGTGGGGAGGTGTGGTAGTTGAAATGACTATCACCTTGGTTTTCTGCATTAAATCTGAGTGACCCTTTAAATGCTTTATGTAAGAGAATTTATGTTATTAGAAATTTTTAGAATGTAGTCCAAACAAAAATTTCTAATCACTCTCACAAATTGCTCATATAAAAAAATAGAAATTATATACTAATAGAAAAAATAATAGAAAACTATATACTAATTAAAAGTTTTCTAACAGAAAACATAAATTGGGTCTCACTGAAGCATATCAATTATATGTAGTCATTTCTGCTTTTGCTACAGCGGCAGTGAAAGGAATGCAAGATAATTCTGATATTTTATCTCTTCAAAGATTCTGAAAGAATGCAATGTTTATCTTGTATAAAATATCCAAGTATTTAATAACTAAACTCAAAGAAAAGATGGTTAGAAAACAGGCTGGCCAAAATACTGTGAACTCAAAATACAAAGAGAAGATGCCACAATACAACATTCTTAAAAAAAAATTAATTATTGCAATTTATAGAAATGGAGACTAAAATATTTCAATCAACAACAAAGTTCTGTCTCATACAGGACACAGCTATTTTAATCATTGATTTGCTTGATTGTTTTTGTTTAGCAACATATCAACTTCTATGGGTTATTTTATGCTGGACCCTAAATATTTTGAATGCAATTTTTTGTACATATAATTTAATCTGAAAGTGTAAAATTGTGTTATAGATACCATATATATCTGTGCATCATGTGACTTTTGAAGCTAATTTTAAGGAGGGGGGTTGCATCATACATGAGATATAAAACTAGCATCTGTACTGCTGGTCCTGGTTATGCTGTTGATCAAACTATATATCCATTTACTTTAGTTAAATTAGCCACAAAATTAACGTTAATCAAAAGTCGCATGATATGTGAGTATATATAGTATATAGTTTGCAGATGAACTATTGTTGGTGTTGTATGTTTTTTTTATATAAACCTATATATTTAAGGCAGGACATTATGTTGATGATTTCAATATTTTCAAATAGTTTTATCACGTTGGTTTCTTTGTAGTATTTATGTTTTACAGGGGCTAAGTGAATACATTCAGTTAAAATCTGTTTCACCATATAGTGCCGTTTGTCATGTTGTACAATGCTGACAAAAGTAGAATGACCAAAGCAATGTGAGTATAACGTACAAGCTGACCAGGTGGCTCCAAATAGAAAAGCATATAATAATTATTAAAAATTCTGTGTTTTGTGGAGAGAAAAAGATCAATGGACAAGCATTGAATAGTAAGAGCAAAAATGCTAAACATAAGAGAAATTCATTAATAAAATAACAGAAAATTAAAGAAAATGGCTCTTGAAATTATAAGGTTAACTGAATTATTTCTGGATTTAAAAGGAAAAGCTCACTTTAAGTGAACTTTTGATCCCTATCAATAAAATCAAAACAAAAAGCAGAATTAGACACAATCTGTAAGAGGCCTAGTGAAGGAGGTGGGTTACTGATTTAAGATGATTGGCATTTGACCTAAAGCATATTGAAAAGCAAAAGGTTTTGTCAGCATTTCAAGTAAGATAGAAAAGTGATGAAGATCTTTTAGGTAAATTTTATTTTATTTTTAAATCTAATGGGATATATTTGCTGGTACAAACTAAAATGTATAAATCTGCAGTAAGCATTTATTGGGGGAGGAAAGAGATCTCTAGAAATAAATATTCTTTAGTCTGTCAAAAATAAACCACACACACCCAAATAAGAACTATTCAGATAATTACATTTTGCTGAGTTGATTGCTTCATTTTGCAGCTTGTAATAAAAAAAAAAAAAAATTTTTTTGAAAACCAAAGTTTTTCTATAAAATGTCACATAACCAGTGTCACCAAATTCCAATCATGAGCAAATAAAAACACTATCAAAAGAATTTCTCGAGAGAGAGAGTATATATATATATATATATATATATATATATATATATATATGGGTCATTCAAGAAAACTTGTGTTTCTATAGTGACTATATTAAATTTTGATGAAATTTTATATGATACTCACCAAATCAAAACAAAAGTTCAGTTGAGCCATAGTTGAATTTTTATTTAACTGCACTTGCAAAATATTTACCAAAACACAAAATACCCATCCCCACCATTTTTAAAGGCTTATAACAATAAAAATACATAAAAACAGAAGTAAATTGAAATCAGAATTCTATTCTATGTAGAAGTATCACCAAATTTCAACCAGATATCTATGAAGTACGGATTTCGATAAATCATTACTGATACCTGACAATTCAAGCAAATTTCAACAGATCGTAACTCTTGAACTATAGCTCAAATGAAAATTATTTTTCCTGGTATTCTATTTCTATAAAGTGGGTATCACATAATAAAATTTCATTAAAATCTGAGATAGTGACTATGGAAACTTAAAATTTTAGTTGAGTTCATATGGAATGACCTATATATGCATACACATATACACAAACAGAAGTCAGCTGAAACAAAAGTTCACAAAGAAACAAGAAGGATCATCAATAAAAGATTAAACTTTTATTAATCTATATACAAATGTTAACATGCATTCTCTTTTCTATAAAGTTTAATGCCACATTTTTATTAACAAAAAAATTACATTAATTTGGCAATCCTAATGATTTACAGCAGTACATTTTTTTTTTGTATTGTTGATGAAACACTGGCTGGTATATTTCAGTGGTTACAACAGAGAGCTGCAAAGTGAGAAATCTGAAACAAATTTCATACCATTGTTTATCACACTAATTTAGTTGTTTAAAGTTTTGAGACAAAGTATTATCATCCTTCCATGGATCAAGGCTTCTTCATTGATAGACAATATTAACTGGAGATGGACAAAAAGTGCACTAACAAAATACAGTAATATATAAATGGAGATAATACTCATTCAAATAATTCATAGAATGAGTATCACCTTAAATAAAGAAAAGTCATTGTAAACCACAATAAATGTGCTATCATTCTGTCAATGTAGCACATATAAATTCTACAAGACTTAACCCTAGAACACTAACCATGGGTATATAGTACCCAGCGCAAATTTTCCTATTTTTAATTACAATTTTCAGTATCTGATTTTCTTACCTAAATAATGTTTTTCAGTTCCTATTAATGTTAACTCAAAGTACAAAGTTTGAAATGCCTGCATGTAAAATATTTCAAATAAAGATTTATATTTAATATTTTTTTTTTATATTTTCAAAATTGAGTATGATATCCTCATGATTAGTAATGGTGTAACTTTAATTGATCGTTAGTGTTCTAGGGTTAAAAATTGAGAATATCAACTCCACAGAGGCAGTAAGCACAAATCAAAAAAATAATACTGAACTGAGAACAAACTTAATTGAATGCTTTGAACAGTGCTAATAGTAGTAATTATAAAAAATAAATCTACCTCAGTATGCAAATCTGCAAGTTTTAGAAATACTCAAGATCAAAAAAAAAAAAAAAAAAAAAGGGGTGTGGTTTAAAGTACATAGAAGTGTTAATGAAATTCCCAGGTCAGTAATAATGTAAATCTAAAACTTTTCAAATTTTAAAAATGCATCTTGGTGGACAATAAATTGTTCCAGCAACAAGAACTTAAAAAAAAAAAAAAAAAAAAAAAAAAAAGAATTAAAAATCAGATAGAAACAAAGAATTACCTATTCTTTTAATGGGAAGTTAATGTAGAGTTGGTTTTTTGAAACAAGATAAAATGTCAGTTTTAATTAATAAAGAATTTTTCTTTGGAAGTCACCTGAAAGCAAAAAAAGAAAGAAAGTGCCTATGATTAGCAAGTTAGGGTTAAGGGAATTGTGACAATTATCAGTTGAACAAGTTCTGCTTGTTTTCATTTAATGGTATGAAGAGAATTTATTTCACTTTTCAGGCCCTACAAATAAATGGGAATCAATTTTTGTGCCAAAAAAGAAATCAAGCCTCATTTTATAATGAGGTCTGTCTGCCTAGCTTCTCTTTGCTACATTAGCATATGTAACAGACTTTTATTGAAAAGTTAAAATACATCTCTTTAAACTGTTCCCTACAATAATAAAAGTTTGGTCCTTTTCTTCTTTGCAAAATGATTCCTGGCTGTTCGTATCAATGATATTGAAAAAGCATAAAAATTTCATTTAGAAATGAATTGAAGTATTTTATTATTTTAGTATTTTATTATTCAACAACTCAGCCAATGAACAAGGCATACCATTTTTCCTCAAAAGTCTGGCTATAATTCTGTTTTTAAGAATATGACCTATTAAAATAATTTATATTGAGTATATGTTTATATCTACCCCCAATAAGCCAATTATTAAAGTGGAACATTTTCACTGCTGTTATTCTCAAAATTAAATGGTAAATAAGGTAATTACAAACAACAAAAACAACAAAAAAAAATATTTAAAATCTTAGCTTTTAGAAATTGATCTTAGTTCCCAGAAATACTGTGCTGGACCAGATTTTACTTGATAGAAATGAACTCAATATATTTATGTACAGTTGACGCTTGCGTAATAGCAATTTGCCATTTGCAGAATTTTCCTTAGAACACAACTAATAATTGTGAACACACCTGCATATTTGTGTAATCGCAAATATCTTCCATGACTTTTTATGGTTTTTTTTATTGGCAATATATATTTGTCACTTTTGTTTTTTTCAATGCTAAATTATTAATAGCAATATAATTTACTAATTTTGTAATATAAATACTAATGTAAATTAAGCATATTAACACAAAAACACAATTGGCTGGAGGTTTGAAAGTAGCCAATCCAAGAGCTTTATTCATTTTTTTCTTGCTACCGATTGACTGTTGCCC